GGAATTTCATGTCCTTATGAAAATGACTACTGGTTGTTATTATAAATTGTAAATTTATATTCTCAAAACTGAAACAGTGGAGTTTTAAATATTAAAGACTGCTCTTTAACTCGCTTTATAAATAACAATTCTAAGCACACTGGTAGCTATCCACACACATTTTCTAACACCAGTTCTGTCAAACCTGTGTAATATGACCACTCAGTCTAGTCAGTTGGTGGTACATTGTACGTGAAGATTTTCTACCACTAGCAATGGCTGCAGATCCTCTTTAAGACGTATCTGTATGGATTTTTATTTCATAGCCAGAAAGAAACAATTTTTAACCTAAGATGGCAATTCATCTGGGTGGCTAATGACATAGAGATATGATAAATCTGGTCAGAAGTGACACGCAAAAGATTCTTCTCCTGTAATGATAATCCATTATAGGCAATGTGAATCAACTTACAAAGCCACCATGTTAGAGTAATGGGAGATAAAAGGATTCCAATGAATGAACAATTGATTCCTACTACCTTGAAATGAGTTAGTACGAGCCACATAACACTTGAGGGCCTTAACAGGACATAACAAACGATTAGGATCAGAGCAGTCATAAAGGTGAGAAATGACTGGCAAATGAATTGGTGAGAAGGATCTTTCCCCTTCCCTAGCTGCCAAAGTCTTTGCAAGAAAAGACCTGTCGAGGTAAAGCAGGACAAATGTGGAATGATAAAGAGTCCAATGCACATGGATTGCAAACAACTCTGACCAACGACGTTCACAAGACAACAACAACTAAAAATACAATTTAAGAGAAAACTGAACCAAAGAATATGAAGCTAAGGGCTCAAAGGGAAGATGAGAAAATTCATGTAAAACAACTGTAAAATCCCAGTTTGGTAATTGAAAAGGTAGTTTGAGTCAAAGAATACAAAAGGATTTCAGTAGACCTGATAGTACTGAGGATTCAAAACCTTCCGATATTTAGAATACCAAAAAATAGTAGATAAGGATGCCGTATATAAAGCCACCATAGATGAAGCAAGACCTCTCTCAAATACCCAAGTCAGAAAATGGGATATGGTAGATACTTTAGGAAGAAGAGGGTTTAAATTCCATTTAACACACCAGTGATGATAAGTATTCCTTTTTCATTGATAAATGGCAGTGATTGGCCTATGGAGATATTTAGTTAAATACAGAGAAACCTTAGAAGTTAAACCCTTATGTCGGACAAAGAACCGCATAACTTCCAAGCATGAAGATTGAGTTTCCAAATACCTGGGTGTAGAATGAATGATCGGGGTTGTCTCAACAGAGACTGCCAGTGTGTAAGAGGTAGACATGGATATTCCCACAGAAATCGAAGAAGCATAAACCATATTTGAGCTGGCCAATATGGGGCAACTAAGAGAACTCAACACAGAGTGGAATGAACAATAGTCAGAACCAGGGGCAATAGCCAAATTGGGGGAAAAGCATACAGATGTAAACCTGTCCAGACTTGACTGAACGCATCTATTTCCAATGCATGAGGATGAGGTATCAGAGACCAAAACAACTGCAGTTGAGAATTCCATTCATTTGCAAAGGCATCAATTGTTGAAGACCCGAACTGAGAGCAAATCCACTGAAAAAATTTGCGATGTAGCATCCATTCCATCAGAAGAATCCGGTTGGTTTGAGAAAAGTGATCTGCAATTAAATTCATCACTCCTGGAACATGACATGCTAAAAGACTGAAATGATGGGAATGAGCCCAGTAGAGAAAATCCAATGTACAAAAACAAAGGTCTCGAAAATGTGTGTGCCTCATTGACGAGAAGCCTGAGAAACCACTGTAGAATTGCCAGAAAGTATAATGACAATTTTTCCCCTCAAGAGAGACAGATCTTGAACCATAGCCCAGTGTACTGCAAGGAGTTCAAGAACGTTGATATGAAGGGTAGACTCGCCTTCTGTCCAAATACCCTGGAACTCCTGACCTTGATGATAAGCTCCACATCCCTAAAGAGATGAATCAGTGAACAGAGGGATCTCAGAATGAGGTGGTGCAATGGGTACCTCAACAGTAGTGTTGTTCTAATCCAACCATCATTCTCAATCAATGATGTTGCTGCTGAGTTATGAGACAGGATGATCCAAAGGGTCAGAATGCATGATCCATTGATCACGCAGTGACCACTGAAGGGACTTCGTATGTGCTCATCCCAAAGAAATAAGAGGTTTGAGAGATACCCATATCCCCAAAAGAAAGAGAACCATCCATGCAGTAGGAAAAGGAGACATAAGTAAAGGCCTAATAGCTCTTTACATGGCTTGTAACCTGATAGGGGTTGGTTGAGCTCAACTTAAGTGAGTACTGAAAAACACACTGAGATGGACAAGATATTGTGTCAGTGACAGAACAGATTTCACCAGTATAATAAGGAAGACTGCTTTTGTGTCTTCTGAAAAGAGAATCTGAGAGTGTTGTTCTGCTAATTGATGGGATGGTGCCAGAAGAAGCCATATAATGATATGTGCACAGACCCAAGGAATGCAGATGACAAGGAAAAGCTCAAACAACTCTGCAGAAGACATAAGGTGCTGATGGAAGACCAAAAGGTAGAGCCCTGAATTGCAATATCTGACCCTTGTGCACAAATCTGAGAAACATCTGGGAAGATTCCACCATGGGAATATGGAGATAAGCAATATCAAACTTGATCATCCAGAACCCTAGCACAAAGTGCCACTGTAGGTTGAGACAAAATTCCATAATAAAGTGAGGATGATCTAAAAATTGGTTGAGTCGAGACAGATCGATGACTGGACCCTAATCTCCTGTCTTCTTGGGTACAACGAATAAACAGGAATAAAATTTTGAAAGAACTAGATCGACCCTCTCTACTGCCTTTTTGACTTACAATTCTCCTATGGCCTGGGAACAAAGCTCTACTCACCATGGCTCTGTTGGAGGCAAAAAGGCAACAGGTTGAGCAGATAATGGTGGAGGTGATGTAAATTTAATGACCAACCCTGAAGCCAGAACATAAAGTACCCATGGATCTCTGGTGAAAGAGCTCCAGATGTCCAGAAAGTGATGCAATCATGCTCCCACTGCTCCCCCACTCACGGGATAGTCACCAACACAGTTGTTGATGGTCCATTAGAGTTGAAGTTCCTTGAGAATACAAATGGACTCTATTATGGGAACCAATAGACCTGGGAACTGAAAAAGGAGGTCAGGAAACACTACAAGCCGACACTCCCAAATTAGTGCTAGAAAGGAGAGAAGCTAATGATGATAAAGAAGGATGTAAATGAGCTGAATCAATTCACGATTCTAACATCTCTGGAACTCTGGCAAACCACATGGGATGGAAAAAAGGAACTTCCTGTAACTCCCCGAGGGCAGAAAACGGTGAACAAACATTTTCTAACAAGACATCTCTACCAAATAAATCCCAATAACAAACTAGCTAAGACACCAGAAAAAGAACTGAAGAAGACAATCTGACTGAAGTAGACATCAGCAAAGTCCTCAACTTGTCCTTAAATTGCTGAGGGGAAAGTTTATAGGCTTCCAACAAAAGTTGGATTGAAGATAAATACCTCAGGACAGTAGTAAGAGCAAGACAAATCTGAGAAAACTGGGATCTGATCAAAGTGATCAAAGGTTCCAATCTAGAACCTTACAGGTCCATTAGGGGGTCCATCCTGGTGGTGATAAGCCAAAGCATGCTGTTAGGATAAACATGGGGGACAAGACATAGCTATCCCATCATGTAACTGAGCAACAAATATACCAGCATGAACAGCAATAACAGGAGGAGGAGGAAAAACCAAATAGTCACTTGCCATCTTTTCTACCAACAAGGAGGGAGTAGAGTCAAATGCAATAAGAGAAACCCCCAAAAACCTCACAAACCCAAGTAATCCACTGAAGCAAAGGAGCTGGAGTTGGCTGATGAAGAGAATCCTCTGTTTAGTTCGACCTAGTAAAAGAAGGAGCCGGAATAGCGAGTCTAAATTCTCTACAGCTGATCCCAAGTCATTTGTAAAAACTGCCTCAGAACCCCCTGGAGAGACACCCTCTGTCCACATATATGTCTCCATCTCACAACGGGTCATATCATGGACAGCCTCGACTGAGTGTGACCCCTCCCCTGGCCGTTGACAAACATCAGATAGCAGAGATGGAAGGCAAGACATCTGGTTGGGCTGTGTAGTAGAAACATTAACTCTGGAATTCATACCAGTCTGCATTTTTATTTTATTTTTTATATTAATCTATAAATATAAGCAAAGATATAACTGCAGTAGCACCAACTACATCCAAAGTCGCAACGTAAATTGTGAATAATCACAACTGTTTATAGAAACTTGTGCCAAACGCTTTGTTGAAAAAAAAAGGGATTATGTTATCTTAATGAGGTGCTTATATACTGTACCTAGGTAGGAGGCGCATTGAATTTGGTGGAGAAATTTGCAAATTAGAATTTGACAAGGGCATTTAAGTGGAATATAAAAGACTAGAGCAAGCATTTTCAATGCTTGGATGGGCAAAGAGTGGAAACCCTGGAGATTAAGAAATAGCTATAGTGTCAGTGGATGTAAGTATGTTTTGGAAGTGTCATTTTTAACTATTGTATTCACCAACTAGTAAGGTTTGGTTCTTGAAAAGACATTCAATCTACCAGGACTAGAAATCTAGCCAATGTGTGTTGAGGAACTCCTGTGAGTTTCATATTTTTAAGGTAAATCAATCTACATAGATAACATGAAAATCATCATAACAGATTTTTAATACATTTGTGCTACAGTAATGAGCATAAAAATGGTATAGAATACAAGAAAATAATTACAACAGCCTTAGCCTACAGGTCTAGATCTATAGTTAATTTTAATGGTTGATTAAAATGTTTTCAGGCATAAATTAATGAGTCTAATAACTTATATATTTTGTAACATTATGCTATTTTCAGCACATACGTTTTTCAAACCTCATTAAAAGCATTATTATACAATACCAGTTGGGTCACCTGTCTGCACCATAAATCCTTTAATATTCCTATGAAACAAGCATCCATTGTAATAGCCACTGGCACAGAGGGCTAAGAAATTCTAGAGTAAGAACAAAATAATCAGGTTACCTATTTTGAATACATTCTGACAACGTCACAACTCAGTTTAAATGCATCTTAATAGCTGTTCATAGCAGAATACAAACAAGCAATAAATGGTATGTATTTTACTTGCATATTATAATCTTGTCTGTATGAATAGAAACTATATTTCAGTGTCTTTTACATGTTCACACATTGGCAATTACAGATAAAGTTTACTACAAGTACCATTGCAATCTTTGCACATGTTATATAAATGCTAAAACACATAGAGTTTATTGAATGTACAAAACATTCCCTAACATTTATTACAATTAAAGCTATGGTTCCTGAATGTGACATACAAAATATTTTAAGTATGAGCTACTTTCCTGGAAAAAATTCATTTTTTTTTTTTGCCATTATGTCAGACCTGTAATTTATGTCAATACTAGACAAGGAAAACTTCCATCATGTAAGAGTAGGTCACTCCAATGCAATGTTTATGGAAGAGATGGATGGGGTCAAGACCATAAGACATCAAAATTTGTTTTCAGAAACTTCAGAATAAGTATTTTTCAGATCTTTCTGAAATTCTTTCTCATTTTATCTAAATGCATTTTTAACAGCAAGTGAAAATTATGAATGTATCAACAGCCTCTATTCCTAGTGAAAATCTGAAAAAATAAAACCTAGACAGTTTGAAGTTTAAAAGAGATGACACATTGTTTAGATAAACAAACTAAGGAACATCTGTTGACTGTATGTATAAACAGACTAAACTTAAATCATTAAATAATGTAGAAATGAGTAGATGTATAGTACTTAACCACTGATTCATCACAACCATTTTGCTGGTCCACGACAGAACATTCATATAAAAATCAAAATGTTTATTTGTTGTATTTGCATTTATTCACATGTTATTATGTATTATGAACAGTACTTGTTAGATGGAATTGGAAATGCCGTTTCTGTAAAATCTCTATCAGATTTATTCTGAATTATGTATCAAACACTGGAGAAAAACATTCTTATTCTTAACTGTAATTTCACTGAAATAATATATATCATGCACAAAACCAGATAAGTAACATTTATCAAGTATATTTTGTACAGAAATGTAATAATAGATCATCAAGGAGCTTTAATTTCATTCATATACAAGTATAGACTATCAAAATCCAAAATAAAACCCAACTTTTTTAGCTCATTTCCAAAAAAAAGGTCTACACAGAAGAGGTTAATTGTAATTTCTATTAATCAATTACTTTATATGACACTAACCAATATAATTGATGGTCATAGGTACTGGAGTACATCTATTTATCAAGTGAACTGCCCAGCTCTAATGAAGATACACAGCTAATTTAGTTCATGAACAAATGCTGATTAACTGACCTTGTGAATATAGCAATAGTCAGGAGTTTTTTACTAGTGACAGCTATTGAAGAGAGAGAAATCACAAAATGGTTATGTCCTTCAACTCATAACTCATCCATGTACTCATTAGACTTCAAAAAATACCTGAAACTTTAAGCATATATATCAGGAAAGACAAAGAGGTATCATTATGGCTTGGTTCCAAATGCTGAATTAATAGTCTCCTTTATCCCCAATGCTTTTTCATTCTCTGATGAGCAAAGAATGCTGTATTCTTTATTGCAAGGTGTCCCATTACACACATTATTGTAGATAAATACTTTTAATATAAAGTTGAGAGTTAAAAACAACTTTCTGAAAACTTTGTAGAAATGTAGATTTTGAAATATTAAATATATTTTTCTTTATTTGAAAACTTAGAGAACCCATAAACAGCAAGGCTATTGTTAGAAGTAATGTAGGTACAATAAACACTGGTGCTTTGGTGGTGTTCACTTTTGTAAGTATTTCTTCAAGATCTTGCAAATAGGTTTCAGGAAAAATGGTTCTTGAGATAATTTTTGATGTTATCAAGTTCCAGACAAACTGAAAAAAGCCAGATCTGTACTTATTAATTTAAAAGTTTTATGGACCAACACAAAAATTAAAGTCTTCTTGAAAACAAAAGATATGTAACTTCTGTATTTAAAATATAAACAAATAGTTGGTTTATTATAATAAGACACTGATAAATTTGTCTCATAATTTAAAATTTTATGGCCCAAAAATAATTATACAAAATATTTTTCTTCTTAAACATTAAGTTAACATTTTAATGTTTTTCAATTAAATATAATAAAAACTTCCAAGTATGACATTTATGTTTGAAGAGTACAAATGAATCACAAACATACCTTTTAAATAGAATCAATTTAAAATCACCTGAATACTGCTGCAACCATTTCTCATGATAACTGAGAAAAATGTTAGATAAGAAAGGGTTAATCTAGACCCCATTGTTTCACATTGCAAATAAAGGGGATTTTATTAATTAGACATTTGGTACCAAGCCTTAATGATACATCTTGCATTTTTTTACAATGTACTTATCATCATCTTACCTCACAAGTTTTTGGGCATTGTTCACAAAAGAGCTCAATCTTCATGTCTCCTACATCAGTGCGGAGGGTAACCGCCTGTTTCATAAATAAAAGGTGGTTTTATGCTAATAGTATCTGACAATTTACACCCTATTAATAGCTTCTTTTAGTTAAGTCAAAACACATACAAGCACAATGTCCTTCTAAAAGTATTCATACAGAGGTAATTGTCCTAATACAGCATTTGTGTGGTATTCATTCTGAATAACTTTCACTATTAGTTTTCTGTGAGGCATGTTATTAACTGAATACAAATGAGATCAGACCATTGGACTGACTCCATATTTAAAAAGTAATGTTGACTATAATTCTGAATTTATGAAATGTATCTTCATGAAGTGTGGTAAGCTTTTTGTAATAAGTGCTAGTCTATTGTACACAAAAAATCAGATGTGGTAATAAAGTTTTGTACTTGACACATGTCTGTGAAATTGCAAAGTCAGTCTGACTTATTGACGTTTATGTGAAGAATAAAAACACTTTTGTTTATTGTACAGTTTGCAAATTGAATTTGTACAACTTCTACATCCATCAAAGTACATATCTGAAGTGTTTCTTTTTTTATTATCCCTGTACATTGTATCTGGTATTTTCTCTACTCTAGCATGAACTGTTGTGAAATCAACAATGCAAGGTAACATAAAGTTGATAATTCTAACATCAAATTCATAATACTATGTTGAATGGCACCTTGTAATTGTACAAGATTGAGGCATGCACACTTTGATCCCACCACACAAGATAATACGGATTACCAGGTTCTAAATATTGTCTAGTGCAACTAGTCTTCATTGTTGTTTCCAAAGATCATTCTAGATTATTAAAATCTGAGTTCTAGTCAGGTCATTTCAAGCACAGGGCACAGGTATAATATTTGCCACAAAAGTTTTTGTGTTTTATAACACTAAGACTAAGAGTAAAAGTAAACATTATCTTGATGGAATAGCATATTGGTCTACAGCCCAAAGCACTCCATCATATAATATAGTATGAATAGTATTAGTACTACCTTATACTGTTGTTATATTGGTTAGTACTCAATTATATCATTAGCACTATATTATAGTTTTAACGGGAGTAACGACTAGCAATCATGTTAATACTACTACAAGTAGTACCACTACAACTTACAAGTATTGAAGTGAAATTAGCTGTAATATAATTATATAGCATCAAATAATACCACGAAGTTAACAACAACAAAAAAACCCAACTAAACTATCTTAAATTATAAATATTAAAAACAATATCTTTATAAATATCTATATGCAATGAGTGATTACCATTCTCAGCTATTATTGCTCGTTTTGTTTAAATTTAAAGCAAACCGCAAATCGACCAAATGTTTTAGCGCCACCTTACGGTGAATTTTGTGTGTGTGGTGTATGTATGTTCCATTTGATGACAGCACCTGTTTTATTAGTTCACTGTATTCTTTTCTTCCAATAAAGGATAGATATACAACAAAGATGGTGACGCGAATGGGAATAAATTTGCAGTAAAAAAAAAGGGAGGACATTCTAGCTCTATAGAAAAGGATGTGGTTTCTTTTAAGCAGATGTCGTCTTCAAGGAAAGTATCAAAAAGCCATTTTAATTGTTGAAATCTTTGAGAACTGACCCATAATTTATTTGAAGAATTTTGAAAATCTAGCACATGGTTATGTTTGCCCATTAAACATCGGCTTGTAGGTGTGACTACTAAGTGTATGAATATTTTGTTGACATTCTGATAGTTGCTTTTCATTATGGCTCTGGTAAGGAATATTCTCAATACTATTAGTGAATTTCACTCTGAGAAGGAATAGTGGGCTAATTGTAAAAGAAGTCTGGATGAAAATATTGTTATGTCTCTGGTCGTTAGTTAATTTCCCGTATAATGTTTTTTCGGATGAAATTTTAGCGACACAAGTCCTTTTTTAAATAAAACTAGTTTATTCTTTCTCAATTCAACTTTGCAATACACTTAATTTCCACAGTCACCTTAACTTAAACACACGCTATAATTTACAACGAACGATTCACGCATTTTCTCACTACCGCGCTTGACTCAATTGTCCGTCTATATCTTCAATCTCTCTGTCTGCTATACAATCCCGATTAATTGCCTGGCGCACTTATATACAAGAATAGAGGGCGCCTAGCAAATACTGGATTATTCTGATGTTCCCCGATCTTTCTAGAACTCATTACGTGTTACCAGCGTCACGTGACTTCCGCTGTCGTAACACTGCCCCTTCCTTAGTATTGTTCGTCCCGAACAATAGCCACTTACATTAAACCAATAGAAAATTAACAATAACTTAATTAAATGTACATAATTTACAAACACAAAATTAAAATTCAACAAAGTCTCTTAATTTTACAGGACGTATCTTCTTCCGTACTGGCTTTTGCTTCACATGAGGTTCATCTGCTCCATCCATTCATCTCTGCCAGGAGCTCAAATTGTGCTCTTTATGCTTCCCACGGTGCCTTCCCATCGAATTCCTGTGGTTTCCT